GCCAGTTCTCATGATCAGCTAGCGTTTCTAATAATACTTGAAACGACACGTATCTGCTATAAGATTTAAACCAAAATTCATACAGCTTTAAACCACAGGTCGTCCTAAACTGAGCTCAGCTGAGAGCTTTTACACCAGCGTAAACTCACTGAACCAAACAAGCCCAAAGCTCCAACCATTCAATCATCCAATCACAGGTTAATATAGACTGACTTAAAAGAAAAAACAAAAACATAACTAATCTGCTTTCCATGATAATAACACTCATTCATCTGAATAATCATCCCTTTCGGTCACAAATGCATTAGCGTCTTCACTAAAACCTAATCGGGTTTAATTGACAGAATGATCATATTTACATAGAAATATGCAGCAACAGTTTAAATATTAGCAGCGTTACCGTTTCCTCTGTGAATACCAAGCAGAAACACCCAGGATATGAAGCAAACACAAAAGTGCAAAAACTGCAGTTCCTGGCTCTAGAACTGCAGTTTTTGCAGATTTACCACAGTTAATCTTCATGTTATCACAAACAGGACAAAGAATCATAAAGTTAATCCCACTGTCAATGGAATTGCTCCATCTTATTGCTGTTTATGACTGTCCAGATGCATCAAAATCGCTTTGAGCATGGCAACTGACTGCAAGTAGTCGCAGTTCTTTGTTATTATCTTCGAAGTAATCATTTCAAAGGCAATGAAACTGCAAGTTAATGGGACATGGTCACGGTAATTTTGTTTGTCCTAATTACGGTTAGAGTGCAAACATGTGTATTTCTTGACCTGACCTCTGCACAGCCATTTAAAGCTTCATGGTGGCTCTGTCCATCTTTTACATACAGTCTGTGGCAAATACACAGAAATGCCTCTCTCTCCCTTTCTCTCTTTGGATGTTATGCTGACAAACGCTTTGGCTGGTCTCGTTTTTCCCATAATAACAGTCATAGGGAGCAGCAACTTAAAAAAAGAAACAAATCACTCCACCTCCTCCTGTGTCCCGCTGCCAACTGCATCTCTGCTTCACAAAGAGCTGCAGCGTATAACAAAAATATTCTCAAAAAAAAAAAAGTCAACCAAGAGAGCCAATCCAATCAAACTGCAGCTGGAAAGTGAGTCGAAAACCCTGAGTCGCTTTTATGCAAATACAGAAGTGATAGTGCTACAAGAAGCTGCACTTGACCTACTTACTCTAGCTCTTCCACAATTCCTTCCCCAACAGAGAGGAGATCAGAGGAAGCTAGGAGCGAGGGGACAGGCCTTATTAACCACCACCACACAGGAATAAAGCGTCACTGGTTAGAGAGAGATGGGGGAGACAAAGCAGAGTGGAAGAAGGCTAACAGGAGAGTCTTTGCTGGATGTGCTCCAAAAAGTCTTGGGAGAAAACCAGTAAAAAGATTCTTGGACAATCTAGCGGAAGAGTTGATGATCTGTTCCTGACGTACATGTGGATCATTCAGTGTCAGCCAAGCTCCTCATAAAAAAAAAAAAAATTAAAAAACAATTTAAATGGTTTGGGTTTGTCGGAAAAAGAGAGCTCAAATAAAACCAAACCCCAATCCCAGCCCATAATTCAAAGCTGAGGCCGTTCTCCGAAAGGCTGCTCTCACACAGAAGCGGCCCTGAACAAAAATTCCACACAAATTATACAGGCTAGGCCTTGATGCTTTTGTAATTGCTTGTGCAGCCCTGCCCAGAAAATAAAAGAAGCAGAAGAAGAAGAAGAAGAGGACAAACAAAAAAAACAAAACAAAAAAAATCCGGGCCTTGATGATGACCAAGAGGAGCGGGCAGAAAAACAAAAGAATAAAGTGTTTTTGTTGGACACAAAAGGACAGGATGTGATCATGTGTCGCTGCCATGGTCTACATGTGCACACAATAAAAAACACAGACACACACACACGTCACAACCAGGCTGCACGGACGTGTCTGCAGCCTCCTTATCTCTTTTATGACATGAAATAGGAGCAAAACTCAGGTAATTTTATTCTAGTCAGTTTCCACTGAAACTAAAAATACAAGTTACAGGAACATATGGGAAAATTCCTGCTAAGGAGCTTTAAATTCATGTTTAAAACAACACAGCTACAAACTTCTGTTTTACTTAGACTCAACATGGCAAAAATAACTGACAATACTGCCGTCAGCTTATTTATTTCGGTACAGTAACTTAACAGGTACTTATTTTGGTCATTTCCACCTCCATGTTTTTTATTCTTAGACTCTACTCGAGTTGCTTTGCACGATTCACAGCTTTAAACAGCCACATAGTTCAGGATAAGCTCCACTTTTCTCTTCTGACTGGCTGCCCCTCCAAAACAACAGCAGGTGCACCGAGCTTCTGTTCCTAACATGGACAAATGAGGGATAACTTCTTTCTATGACATCATTTAGATCCCTGAGATTTTGGGCATTGAGGGATAACTTTTAAATTCTCTGAAAATGATGTAAGTCTTTGGCATGTTGACTATGAGCAGCCACAAATTTAACAAGTATACTCTATATAGGAGGTCAACTTTAACTGGGCCCTGGTGCGACCCTCCTGTCATCCTCTGTCTGCTCACTGTCTAAAAAAAGAAAAACCTTTGAAGACCAAAACTTAATGAATCATTTATCGTAATAAATCGCATTCAAAGTAAATGCAATGGTTCGTTTCAATTTCTCAAGGCTTTTTATATTGTACGGTAAAGGGCCTGCGATCATGGAAAGACCACCCTTGCGATGATCAAATGATCCCCTATGAGCATGTGGTGATGGTGGGGAGAAAGAACTCCTTTTAACAGGAAAAGAACCAGGCTCAGGCTGAGGGGTGAGGAGAGATAAGAGAAACAACATCAACAAGTAATGCCATATAAGTAATGGCATATAAGCATGTCTCCTGATCCCAAACTGGGAGCTAGTCCCACAGGAGAAGGGTCTGACAACTGAAGGCTCTGCCTCACATTCAGCATGGAGGGAATGAAGTGCTTTGTTAGGATAATATGATAGTTTGAGGTCTTTAGGACCAGACTCTTCAACTCTGGATTTAACAGGGAGCCAATATTCTCTTTTACATGACTGCAAATACTTATGATGGCTATGAACATAACTAACCAAGCATGCAGCGATTATGCTAAAAAACACACGGTAGAGTTGTGAGCTTCAGGTTTCTTGGCCTGCTTGTACAGGTAGCTGGATTTACTTGCAGAGATTACAGTTCACCGGGTCGAGGAAGCACACCTGCAGGCTGACGTCTGAGATGCTGTAACACTGGCCTACATCGAGGACATGCCAAATGGCTAAAAATACATCCTGCTGAGGTTCTATACCACACCCCCTCCTCAGCATCTGAACCACCAAGACGTCAATAAAATATTCAAATTCAAGCCACAGGCTCTCTTCCCTTCTCCCTTTATTGCAGATACCCGAGCAACATAAACACCAACACGCTTAACATTACACAGACTCTGGATGCAGCCTGCAGCACCTTGCAAAATTAAATAGAAACACTGCCACAAATTTAATTAAACCCCTAAAACTGTTAAAAACAAGGCAGGACGTTCACCAGATACATTAATGTGACATGAACATGCCTCCAACATGCTCTGTGCTATGATTTAATTATGATTCATGACCAGGATTGGGAATATCTCAGCTCTTCTTGCAAAAGAAGCAATATATTTGTACCTACAGTGGACAAAAAACTGAGAACAGCTGTTCAGTCAATAAGCTTGGAGGGCCATTTAACCTAATGCCGCACTAACATGCTGTTGTTGGACAGAAGTCCACAGCGTGTTGTTCCAAGTGACTGCATAAACACACGCTTTTAATCCACTTAAGCTGGCAGCGGGTCAAGTGATGGGCCATTTAAAGGAGCCCAACATGACAAAAACGGTCAGGATAAGGTGAAAACAATCCTCCAAAATAAAACTCAGGTGACCACAGTTTGGTAAGGATGCAAAAGAAACACACACAGAAAAAAAGAGAAGAAAAAATAAACCCCACACACAGCGGCCCCTGCATTTGTGACGCTCAGCTGCTAAATTTAGATCACATGAAACTTGCGCAAGTCTCCTGGGAAGGCTGCAAGGCATGAGATTGCAAGGCAACAATAATATTAGTACTTTCTGTGTGTTTGATTGATCTATGAAGAGTTCAAACCCCAGAGATTTTCAGCAAACAAGCACACACAGGCAAAATACAACCCGACGTCCTAGAAGGAAAACTAAATAACACCCAAAACACAGATAAAAACCAGCATTGTGTTAATGAATCTCGAGGCTACTGACTGCAAGTCTGCAATGTTATTCCAAAAGAAGATACCCCGCTCATACAGACAGTATTCCCTCTGTACAACATCACAGTACACTTAAAAAGCAAATGCACACTTTCAGTTTTGATTCGAGGAGTTAACCATTTGGGAATTACAGCCATTTTTTGCACAGTCCCCCACTTAATTTGGACAGATACCTTAATGGCCAGATGAGGCCTGCTCCCTCTTAAATTCAATAGAAATTATGCACATAAAAGATCTGGAGATGTGCTGAACTTGTATTCAGTAGCTGTTCACTGGACCTCTAAATGTGAGGTCCACAGAGATGTGGATGCAAGTGATACAGGCTGAAAAAGCAAAATAAACCAAAAATCCACCACAATGCTGCATAATTACACCATGCAAATATTTGTGCACTTAACTGTATGCTCATATACACTTTTGGCAGGTTGCAGCTGATTAAACATCTGTCTTGCATGTGTCAGCAACAGAGGCCATGATTTGATGGTCTCGCAGAGAGGTTACTGTCTCAGTTGTTTGCACAGTGTCAAGCACGGCATCATTGTAATGAAGTAAAGCATTCATGTGTAAGGCCATGTGCTCATAAATAGCCCATATTTGCTTGCTTTCTGCATGCATGTACCCAGGCCTGTTGTAATGCATCGTGTAGTGTTAAAGTGCTATAAATCACCAAATATTCACATTTAACAAGCCACAAAAATAATTAAATATATTGTTTCATCTCACCTTTTTGCCCGTGGAGCCAGTCTTGGAGAGGCAGGACTTCGCAAGGGAGAGGTACCCGCCGATGACTTCAATCTCCTCCACAGCAGGGTAGCGCTTCTTCAACAGGGAACCCAGCTGGGCGTAGGGGGCCTGGGGAGGGGTTGACCCCGGAGGGGCTTCACTCGGGGCTTCCTGCTGGGGCTCAGGTGGGCTCAGCTGGGCGTCAGACTCCACCCGACGTTTAGGCACCACAGTGAAGGTGTTCCCCTTTTTCCTCTGCACCAAGGGGCTCGGAACAGGGACACGCTGGGGTGGGGGCTCCACCTCGATGTCGTCAATGTTTGTTACTGGCAGCTGATCCACTGGAGGTTGCACTGGAGAAGAGACTGACTGGGTGGGAGAGAAGGGAGGTGAAGATGGGATAGCTGGAGAAGAGGGGGGTGAAGAGAGGACAGGCGGAGAAGTGGGAGCAGGGGATGGAGATAAAGGTTCAGAGAGAGAAGGAGCAGGACTTGTGGCAACAGTGAGAGGAGATGGTTCAGGTTTGGATGGCCTCTCCACCTCCTTCTCCTCCTCTTTCCTCTTTAACAGGGTGGGGGAGGTTGGCACTCCAGGTTTGGACACCTCTGCTGCTCTGTGTGAGGGGGAGGACTTGATGGGGCCAGGTGTCACCATGGGGCTGCTTGTTGAAGATGAGGCAGCCAAATGGCGCTTGGGGATCACTGTGAAGGAGTTTCGGGACTGGAGGCGAAGGTTTGCGAGGGCCCGTGCTTGGGTGTCGCCATCAGGAATCTGGGCGAGGTCTGGCTTTGGAGCGGGACGGATTTCAAACTCGTGTGAGGAGCAGGTCACCTTGGATGAGACAGGGCTCAAAGGGGCCTCGGCACGGGCACGGCGGGTCTCCGGAGAGCATGGCACCTTAGGTTTGGGGGGCACCTCAGCGGCCTCCCAGTCTCTCTCCCTGGTGGGCTTGTTTGTCCCCCTGTCCGGCTCGTCTCTGGGAGTCACGGCTGCGCTGTGGTGGACTCCACTCTCCTCAAAGCGCTGACGGAAGGAAGACACGGGCTGTGAACGCTGGGGGCTGCCCGGCCCAGAGACGGCAGGCTGTGGCTTTGGTTTGGAAGACCAGGGACCCTGGAAGACAGGCGAAGATGGCTGGCTACTGCCCGGGCTGCTGACCCGTGGACCCGGCCTGGGCTTTGGCACCAGATCTGGCTGTGTCTTGGGCCAGAGTCTTGGCCTACTGCTGGCACTACAATCCAGGTCCAGGAGGTTCTCTGTGCTGTGGGACTTCTTCTGCAGCTTCCCATAGTTGCTGTCAAACTTCTGGAGGATCCTGCTGACCCTACCTTGACCGTCACCTGTATTATAGGGGACCTCCTGATCAGGACGGCCCAGGGTGCTCAGGTTCTCCTCGCTCTTGCTTAACGTGGTGTCATAAATGACGACTTCCTTGGCTCTTATCTCGGTAACAGCACTCCCTCTGCGGTCCAGAAGGTCGTTTAGAGAGCTGTAACTACTCACACCGTTCTGCTGCCATTGGCACTCGCTTTTCACGCCTCCACCTTCCGGAAAGTAATCCGGGTCCGACTCGATGATGATGATGTTCTCCGCTCGGATAGTCCGTATGCCGGGGACACTGCCGTACAGCTCCAGGATGTGCTGGACCGGGCGGGTGGCGTTTTCTTGCTCCTGCCGCCTCCTCCGCTCCTTCTCCAGCTTGATGAACGGGTTCTCCTCCAGCGGCCCCAGGCTCTCCTGCAGCACCAGACTCTCGTGTCTGCCCTCCTCCCTCGGTGTCGCCGCGGCCGTCGCTTGTGGCTCTTTGTTGTGGGAGAAGTGCTGGGTGGCCGGGGTGATGGTGTAGTTCCGCCCGGTCGCGCCACCACCTCCTCCGTTCACATTCCCCGTTAGTTCGCCGTTTACCCGCTGCGGGCCCGCTCCCCCGGGGCTAGCCTCCGGAGCACCGGTTCCCCCAGCCCCGCCGCCGCCTTTCGCCTTCCTCCTCTCCAGGATTTCTCGCTTCCAGGCCGGCATCCTCGGGCTCTCTTGGCCGCCCTCTTGGCGGAGGACGCGAACCTCTCCTCCGCCAGACATCGCGGAGGGTTGTTACTGGAAGAAATGAGGAGGAGAGAGAGAGGCAGGCAGGCTCCGAGGCGGTCTTGCCGCGGTCCGGTGCGGCTCTTGAAGCTGTATCTCCGGCTGTGACTGTACCTGCAGCACCGATCACCGCACACTCACACACATCCCTTTTTTCTTCTCTCTCTCCTCTCCCTCTGCTGTCACACTGTCTGGCTCCCTTTCTCCCCAAAGGACCCTGAACGCGGCTCCGCCCCCTCAGCGGCAGCCCGAGCGTCTGTGATTGGTATCTGTGTGCTCTGGGCACGCCCCCTCCCTCCCGTTTCTATTGTTGACGGAGCAAATTAGGCCTGCCAATCAAAAGTGCTGCGTTCAAGTTCAAGATATTTTTACAACATGTGATTAAATATAAATTTTGTTGCTGTTTAATTACAAAAACGCTGTTTAATTTGTAGTTAATCACAACAAAAATGTCGTTTACATAACACAGTAGAATTATAACCACTACACATTATTATTGTTGTTAAAATTGAATTAAAACCCTAATTTACCTTTGTTGTATTTACTAAATGGGGAACATTTCTTAAACTTTACCACCTATTATGTCCCAGTAGTGTTCAAAATAATTATTTTTTGTGGTTTTTCCACAGTTTTTATCCCCAGTCTCACTGGATAGGAATCAGGTTATTCTAAATGGTTTTGGTTGCGATGTCGGAGTGTTAAATACACTTAACCTCGGTTCATTCAGCATTTGCCGGTGATACCACCTGTCGATAATCCGCGTGCAGCGATCAGATGAGTCTGCTGCACATGAATCAGCACTAAGAGGGCTATTCTTGGGTACTACAAGAGATTACTGTAGCTCATAAAACATTCATCGCGGGGCAATAATTAAGAAGAGCAGGGCTGAAGAGGGCGAAGAGTGTGCCTTATTTCCCCTTTGAAGCAGGACCGAAAGATGCAGAGAAAAAACTAAACAAAAGAAGGACATAAAACCTTCATAATATTTGGTATTTTATTTATCTTTATTTTAAAATGTAAAGTATATCAAGCGTATGCAGCCATAAATACGTTCCTTTAATTATTTTTAAATGTATATACATTTTAAACTTGGAAAATCTGCAAACCAGGAATTTTTCCACATTGTTCTGCAGATCAGCTTCAGAAAGAGATTTTCTATAATTTGCAGAGACCATTCTGGAAACAGTTCCAGCTTTAATCAGGAACACCACACCGAACTGGTATGCAGCCGGATATTATGCTTTTGTTCACCTGTAGAGAAGCTTCCCATATTGTTATCATCAAATCTAATAGAAATAATTTTAAACATTAGAATACGCATTACACTACAGAGCACTAAAGATGTGATGTTTGCTTTAAGGATGGGTTCCAGGCTGGGTTCTCCCTGTGCTTGAGCAGGTTTTCTGTGCTCTAAGTCCAAAAGCATATGATGGAGAGTTAGCTTGATTAGTGACCCTGTACCCTGTCATAGCTGGGATAGGCACCCTGAGGCCCTGAATGAGAAGAAAATGGATGATGTACAAACATATCCTACGATGTAGGTCAGTGTTAACAGTGCCATGGTTAGGTAGATGAAGTCCCAATTATTAAAACTGCTTAAGAAAAAACAAAAGTCATACTTGTTTGATTTCTATATGCAGAAAAAAATGGCTGCATTTGACTTAATTATGCGGTGACATAAATGTTTAGTCTTTTACCCCACGAACTAGCGCCCCATTGTGGACAGAGAGAACACAGACTCAAAACATTTAATGGACAACCATTAAATGTTATTTTATTTACATGTATATACAGATGACAATAAAAAGGTGGCACAGAAAAAAAAGAACATAAATAACATTTTAATTTATTTTTTTTAAAAAAGAAAAAAAATCAACATATACACAGAATTTCACATCAGGATTTACCCTAAAGTGAGGCCTTAAATAGATGCACTACACAGACAGCAAAGGACTCAAAATAGACTAAACACATTACATGTTGTCAAAGTAAACAGCAGTTTGTTTGTTTTTTTAGGGATGATGTGTAAAACAATCCCCTCTGAGTCCCGACAGTTTTCACATCCAGCTTTTTACCAAGTCCAAACCACTTCTCTGTGATGGAGTTTGATGAACACACACGACATAGTCAGATTAAAATCCTAAACCCATTTTTGCTGGCAAGCAGTTTCTCAGTCCAAGTAGGGAAACAGCAATCAATAAAGCTGCAGCAACGTCATGAAAGTTGCTCAAAAACGTTACCTGGGGCTTTGCTGCTTTAACATTGAGTGCACAGTGCATTAGAGCGATACCTCTGGAGTAAATTTTCTACCACTGACTGATCAGTGCAGATGTGCCACTATGGTCCAAATACAAGCTCTTTCAAATGTATCACAAAACCTGCACACCAAAATATATCCAGCAAGTGTGCTTCTTCTTTAGATTTTTTTTTTAAATAATTACTCAAGCAGGTGAGAAAATCTTCTGTTTATTATGCATGTTAAAGCAATTAGAAATTAACTGCGTGTTTCCTGAAATGTGAA